CAAATACAAATTTTGAATATTTTTCAAAATTTTGAAAAAACACAAAGATTTAAAACAAGTGTGAATGGTGCCGTCATGTGTGATTGAAACGAATAGTTGGTTGTCGGTAGCAGATTGAGGGTAAATTTAAAATAAAAGGAAATGGTATGGAAAAAATATACGGATTTCAATTTTGGTCCTTTAAACAATTCTGACGAAAATATATGTGGGAGCAATATCTAAATTTGGAGCGATCTGGAGCTATATCTAAATGTGGGCCAATTTGTAGGATCTTTTAAAAATATTTTTTAAAAAATCTATGTATTGTAGGTCCTTAGAAAAATATTATTTAAAAATTCTACGCATTTGGTGTTCTTTGAATATATACATTACAAAATATACGCCTTAAATGTCCTTTAAGAAATATTCTTCAGCAAATCTACGCCTTGTAGGTTCTTTAAAAAATATTCTTCAGCAAATCTACGCCTTGTAGGTTCTTTAAAAAATATTCTTTAAAAAGTCTACGCCTTGAAGGTTCTTTAAGAAATCTACGCCTTGTAGGTTCTTTAAAAAATATTTTTTAAAAAGTCTACGCCTTGAAGGTTCTTTAAGAAATCTACGCCTTGTAGGTTCTTTAAAAAATATTCTTTAAAAAGTCTACGCCTTGAAGGTCCTTTAAGAAATCTACGCCTTGTAGGTACTTTAATAAATATTTCTTATAAAATCTACGCTTTGTAGGTCCTCTAAAATATATTCTATAAAAAATCGATGACGTGCTTAACCACTTCCCATAGATATCCGAATGCACTCAAGCACGCATCCCCACCATATGTTTTCAATACAAACATGCCCCCAACTCTCTCACACACATATCCCCCATCTTCCCATCCTACTGCTGCACAACACATCTTGCCAATGTTGCATGCAATCCAAATAATGTCTATTTAAATCACGCACTTAATTAGTGCTGGTGCCTGCCTGCTTGCTTACTTCCTCAACTGTGGACCCATGAAAAATTGACTCTATTGAATGCCCATTACCCATGATGAAAAACAGAAACTAGAAAAAAAGAAATTGAAATACTTAAAAAAGAAAATATGAAATGAAAAAAAACATTATTCACAACTATGAAATATACTTCTTCCTCCCAAAAAACCCAAACAACACCATCCGTCGTCATCTTCAAGGTACTCACAAAAATAGACATTTATCTTGCCATCGAATGAAATGAGTCCATCAATCCCTATGGAATATAAGCACAAACACCCAACTATTTTGTAAATGTGTTAAGTGATATGCCCTCATATTCACGAGACCATATTTCTTATTGAGAATGTGCGATATTTTGTAAGTTTTTTTTTTTTTGAAATGGTTCGAAGAATGACAGGTCGTACAGCAAATCAACTGTTGGGGGGAATTTAGACACCTTGTTCTTTTAATAACTCATAATTCATGGCAGATATTTTCGTAAAAACACACACATACATACATACGGATATACACCATTTACTTGACAAATGGGATTGATGATGAAATATAAAAATATTTTAAATAATTAATAGAAAACATTTTTTATTAAAGATGTTATTTTAAACATTTTATTAGTGAATCTACACCTTGTCCTTTAAAAATATTCTTTAAAAAATCTACTTCTTGTAGGTCTTTTGAGAAATATTTTATAAAAAAATCTATACCTTGTAGATGCCATCAAAATATTCTTTTTTATTGAGAACAAAAATTGATTACATTTAAAGCAGGAGCTAATTGACCTCGTACTCCATTCTTCATCATCGGCCTGGTTGTTTCTTCCACTTCGGAGACAGTTTTTCTTCCTCCAAACTGATACGATAACTCATCTGCGGTTCTGTCGTTGGCTTTTAGAGCTTCCACAGTAAACAATCTTTTCCTGCAGCTTTGTATTGATGATCATTTTATTGAGAACAAAAATGGATTACATTTAAAACAGGAGCAAACCGATCTCGTACTCCATTCTTCATCATCAGCCTCATTGTTTCTTCCACATCGGAGACAGTCTTTCTTCTTACAAACTGATAACATTTGAGGTCGAAATAACTCATCTGCAGTTCTGTCGTCGGGTTTTAGAGTTTCCCCCAGTAAAAATCTTCACCTGACGTTTTTAATATTCCTTTAAAATTAACTTGTTTTCCACTCATATAGCTCCGAAGGTATTTCAAAAACAATTTTGCAGCAGTACTCGGGCTACAGGCGTAGATTCTGGTGGACTTCCAGGTGCATTCCTTGTCAGTGATGATATTCGTATTCCGTTCGGATACAGAAATTCATCACCCTTCGGTATAACTTCTTTCCAGAAGTTTCTTTAATATTAGCGCATTTGGTAGTTGATGGTAGTGAATATTAAATTTTAGCAATGGGGAACTCTTCAGAATATACATCCACTTCAATGATTTCATGCCTAGGAAGCATCAGTATTCCATCTGTCGACGAGAAGTATAACTTCTTGTCGAATGCTTTTCTTTAATTTTTCTTAAGGGGAACTCATCCATGAATGTATCAGCTTACCACCTGTGGATGTCATTCTTCTTGAGTCCGAGGAGTCACCTCGGTTACCCTATTAACCATGAGGTACTGATGACGTTATTCATATCCGCCTCTATGGCTTCATGACTCGGAAGCTTGTAACCTGTCGACGTGAACGTGGTATTTCATCTTCGCTTTTTGCCACGGAAGCGTCGACATGTCGGTGTGGAATCTTAATTCTGCCTCGTCGATCTCATCCCCAAAACCTGCTGACATCTTATTAGATTCGGAAAACAAGCTCTTTAATTTTACTGCTGAGCAACTACGTCAATACTGCGGATGACGATGTGATGATGAATTTTCTTGCCAAAATTGCAAATTGCGTGTTAATGCGTAACGATTGATAAATTTTTAATGATTCGTGTTATGTTAATTAACGATGAGTTACAAAATACTTTGGACGACACGAACGGCATCGCCTGTAAATATAAATTTTGTATCTCTCGCCCTATTAAAAGTTTGTGAATTATAAATAGTTCAGAAAATTGATGAAGTCATAAATTAGAAATACATTTTTTGTGTAAGAGTGGTGAGGAAAATTGGAAATGATAGCTTCGCTGAGATTATATCTGAAAGGAAAGTTATGAAAGAAAAAAATGCATCTATATACTTTCTACAAATGAGTGGGAAAATCGCTAGAGAAATATGATGTATAAAGTCTCAATACTTCAACTTCAGATCTCAGAACTTCTATAATGATTCCCTGAGCTTCAGATCTATGAACTATAAAATACGTTTTCAATTTCGAACGTTTTCAGCTTGTTGTGATTTTGGTTTTTGCTAGGTCCATGGTGGTATGGTAAAATATAAAGTTTAGTGATTTAGTGGTCACTACTTGGCCCCGGATAATTGATGATAATTTTATTGAGAACAAAAATTAATTACATTTAAAAGGGAAGTGGTAGGTAGAGAGTGTTCACCGCAGATAGATAACTCACAATATGTGTATTTCATGGATATTGATGATAATTTTATTGAGAACAAAAATGGATTACATTTTACATCTGCCCTTTCATGCTGAATTCGATTATTTAGCGGTCTCCATAGGTGTAACCATAGTGATACGTCATCCATATCCACGTCAACGACTTCTTGCCTCAGAAGCATTAGTTAGCTATATGTCGACGAGGTACCCGCTTTTGTCAAGTCACCCCAATAACCGTGGACTTAACCATCATATTACTAGAAAGACTCCCTACAGATCTTGTATAAAGTCCCTAAAGACTTAATACTTCAGATTCAGATTTTTTTAGGGACTCTGGAAACCAAATATATTTATACCCTACACAACTATGTTGTCAGGGTATTATAGCTTTGTGCAGCCCCAAATGTTTGTAACGCCGCGAAATATTGGTCCTAGACCCACCTTTAAGTATACCGATCGTCATATCTCGACTAGCTGAGTCGATCTAGACATGTGTGTCCGTCCGTCCGTCCGTCCGTCCGTCTGTCCATTATAAATTGTAAACACGATACAGGCCACAGTTATGGACCAATCTTCACGAAATTTTGCATGTAGAATGGGTTCTGGCCAATGAAGACCCCTATTGTTTTTGGAAAAGATCGGTTAATATTTAGGGGATGAAATGGACCAAAAACATTATTTTTGTCGGTTTTTCTGGTCGCTCCAGAGGCCGCAATTATGACCCAAACACCGCGAATTTTTGCATGGAGAAGGGGATCGGGCTAGAGAATAAGCATGCATGTTTTGATAAAGATCGGTCAATATTTAGCGGGTCAAATGGACCCTGACTTTTGTGTGAAAAATGACAAAATTTGTATTCTATGGCATATATATTTACTCCTGGAGGATGTAGACCCGAGGAGTTGATAGCATATCCAAGAGGAGTGGTTGGCCTTTAAATTGATACCAAATATAGTGATGTATCTACTCAGATGTGGAAGTTACAGTCAAATATTTACAGGTGCTTACGTTTTCAGATATTATTTAGTAACCCATTACCACATTAGAGGGGGAAATATCGTGCTGATGGCTTTAAAATTTTTCATGAAGTTCCAGTTATGATCGAGAACAACGCCTACCATTTTCGGTGATGATCAGATTAAAATTTTGGGATGAAATGGACCGAAAACTTAATTTTTTGTGTGTTTTCGAGTCGAGTATAATCCGAAAATCACAACACAACCCACCGTGAAGGTAATCTGGACAAGTAATTAGAAGGACTGTACGGAACATTCGAAAAAAGTAAGGAAGAGGTGTTGTTGACCTCTAATTGGACAAGAGGGGGCAAATATCAGGAAATATTACTCAGACTCGAAATAAACATCTTCAGAAAATTAGAGTTCGTGGTAGTTGTGTAGGGTATCGTATGGTCGGCCCCGTCCGACTATACTGCTCCGCTCACTGGTTTTAATATAGCTCCTTAAAATATATTCATTAAAATTTCGTAATTAAAGCTCTTTACTTATTTTTTCTTTCTATTGTTTTTTTTTCTTTTTAGGTTAAAATATGGTTTCAAAATCGCCGAACCAAATGGAAAAGGCAAGATAATGTTACTAACTCTGAGGCGGCTGAGGTTAAATCCGCCAATTCGGGCAAAACAACGACAACAGCCACAACAAATAGTAGTACATCATCGATGACGACCTCATCGGTAACAGCAACACCGGCGGTGGCTACAACAACATCATCCTCTACAGCACCAATATCATCCCCAACAACAATGGAGAGTAACAACATTACAGCAAATGGCAAATCAGTGGCAGCAACATCATCAAATGGACCATTGATGACCGCAAACACTGATGCGATTTTAACAACAACGACATCATCATCGTCCTCATCATCCACCGCCTTGGCAACAACAAAGAAAAATGCTCACATCAATGGCACAAGAAATAGCTGCAATAGCGGTGGTGAGCCAGCAGCAACATCAGCTAATGCCGAAGGTAAACGCAACATTGCAAATGAATTAAGTGCAAAATTAACCGCTAAACAAGCGACAAAAATCAAAAAACAATTGAATGCTCTGCTGGAGAAAACCTCAAAAAGTGCTACAGGTTCGGCAAAGCATGAGCAGCAAGCCACTGGCGGCACTACTACTAGTAGTAGTAGTTTACAACATGCATTACAAGCTGCTTCAGGTCAGATTGCAACAACTGGCGTTGGTGCTGCTGCTGCTCCTGGCAAATTAGCAAATAATACAAATGCAGTAATGGATAACAAGAATGGCCCCAGTCCGGCATCAGCTAACAATAAACAATTGCACAACAGCCATCACAACCATCATCATCATCATCATCATCATCACCACCAGCGTGGCCATCATCACCATCGTCATCATGCTGCCATACCGCATCATCATCATGCTATTCCATTAACGGTTGAGCCTGCAGCACCCCTGGAACAGACTGAAAAACTCGAAATCAAACTGGAGGAATCGCCACAACATCGCGAGTTACAATTAACATTGTTACGTGCCGCTGCTGCCGCCCAGCAACAACAACAGCAACAAGGTGGCCAACAAAGTCCACATTATGGCGAAATGGATTTTGAAAGTAAATTGGCCGCATCGAAAATATCAAATGCTTTAGCCGTGGCCAACAAATTGAATGGGATGGAAGGTACAGCGGCGGCTTTGTCCAAAAAGTCTAAAGCCACCAGCAAAAGTGAAAAACTTCAGCAGGCGACAACGTCATTGATGAAAGCCGAACACAAGGAAACAAAGGACACCACAGTGACCACAAAAAAACTGGGCAATGTTGTCTCAACTTCTACGCCACCACCTCTCGCGAATGGACAAAATAAAGATGGCAGTCCTCAACAATCTAAAATACCGAGTGATTTGCTAGATGATTCTGATGATACAGAATATCGAGCAAAAGCCGACAATGATGAGGATGATAAGGAACAAATAAATTCTAATTTAGAGGCAACTACTTCTGCCGCCATGATGGATATTGATGATAATTTTATTGAGAACAAAAATGGATTACATTTAAAAGAGCAGACAACCGATCGCATTCGAGATTCTTCATCATCGGCCTGCTCCTCCTCTTCCTCGCCGCCTTCGGCCGCCTCTTCCGTTGTAAATGATAATGCTGATGATACTGAAATGCAAGAAATTTAAAATTTAATGAAATCGAAAAAAATCATTTTGAAAAAGATCTTCCAGTCCAAAACAAAACAAATAATCCACAACAAGAAAAAAAAAAACAAAAACAAATTTTGTGCCAAAAATTATTTTGAAATAATAAAATAGATACTGCTATATTTCGTATGCACTATGTTAAGTGTTAAATAGATATTTAAGGTATATTGTAAAATAATTGGAAGATATTTTTGTTTATTTATGTATTTTTTAAAGAGTCAGAATCAATTTCTATTGATTGGGGAATAGTTCTGGAAGAGACCAATAATTTAGATTTGGATATTTTGTGGATCACTTGTTTCTGATGTCTCGATTAACTGTCAAAGTGCGTAACATTATCCAATTAACAGGTCGTGCAAGAGGCGACAGTTAATCGGATTCAGTTGCGCTAAATGGATTGCCTATTTACTACGACATGGTCGACTTCAAGTAGTTCCATCGATTCTAATTTCCTCCGATTACTGAGGTATGCTCGCGGTGGCCTAAATCCGCTGCACAATTATATGTCTAAAAGGCCTTGTGAAGGTTTAAAAAATTCTTTAAAAAATCCACGCCTTAAGGCCTTGTGGAAGGTTTTAAAAATTCTTAAAAATATCCAAGCCTTAGGGCCTTGTGGAAGGTTTTAAAAATTCGTTAAATAATCCACGCCTCAAGGCCTTGTGGAAGGTTTTAAAAATTCGTTAAATAATCCACGCCTCAAGGCCTTGTGGAAGGTTTTAAAAATCCACGCCTTAAGGCCTTGTGGAAGATTTTAAAAAATCTTTAGAAACTCCACGCCTAAAGGCCTTGTGAAGGTTGTAAAAATTCTTTAAAAAACCCACGCCTTAAGTCCTTGCGGAAGGTTTTAAAAATTCTTAAAAAATCCACGCCTTAAGGCATAGTGAAGGTTTTAAAAATTCTTTAAAAAACCCACGTCTTAAGGCTTTGTGGAATGTTTTAAAATTTTTTTCAAAACTCGACGCCTTAAGGCCTTGCTAATGGTTCTCAAAAAATCCACGTCTTAAGGCCTTGTGGAATGTTTTAGAATTTCTCTAAAAATCCAGGTTTTAAGGCCTTGCGGAAGATTTCAAAATTTTTTTCAAATTCCATGCCTTGAGGCCTTGCGGATGACTTTAAAAATTATCTAAGGCATTGTGAAAGATTTAAAAAAATCTCCGTCTTACGGCCTTGTGGAAGGTTTCAAAAATTCTTTAAAAAATCCACGCCTTAAGGTCTTGTGGAAGGCTTTACAAATTCTTAAAAAAAAACACGACTTAAGGCATTGTGGAAGATTTAAAAAATCCACGCCTTCTATATTAATAGCATCAGAAAAATTTGAAAATTATAAATAAATTTAAAAAAATATTTGTGTTTAATTTGTATTTTATACATAATTTGACGATGATGATGATGAGGAACAAATAAATTCAATTTTAGAGGCAACTACTTCAGTAGCAATGATGGATATTGTTGGTAATTTTATTGAGAACAAAAATTGATTACATTTAAAAGAGGAGCCAATCGATCGCATTCGAGATTCTTCGTCATAGGTCTGGAATTATAAATAAATTTCAAAAAATATATGTTTTAATTTTTTTTGTCATTATTTTCTATTTCATTTTATAATCAAACAACTAAAACGTTACCCTTGATAACAAATATATAAAAAAGTATAACATGATAAAATTATTTCCTTTAATTGTATAATTATTAATAATAACAATATTGTAAACTCCAATGTAAATTAGCAAATGTAAAATATATAAAAAGAAAATTGACGCTTGAAAATTATAAAATCCTTAATGAGGCCATACAAGAAACTTAAAACAATGAAAATATTCATTATAATAAAAAACTATCATCTAATACTATAATAGGGCTAACGAAAAAGAATATACCATAATATGAAAAAAAAATTATAACAAAAACAAATAAAAAATCTTAACATTTCATGTGATAATTTGAAAAATCTGAAAATAATCTAAAAAAAGTATACGATATACATACAAATCAATACAAAAACCAATAACAAATTAGTAAGTCAAATGCAATTAAAAATAAATAATAATCATTAAAATAAAATACCTGTGTGTATATAAAAAAATTGATTTTAAAACAGCTCAATTATATAAATAAACATAAGTTAACGCTCTATTATTTTAGATATAAGTATGTATGTATATATTTCAATTCAAATAAAATAACTACATATAATTTAAATCATTATTTAATGTTCAAAAATCTGTTTTTTTACTGTGGCCTTTTTGTTCCGTGAGTAAGCTTTGAGTACATGCAGACTCATGCCCAAGGACCTTTAAAAGGAATGTGAAAGGAAATGTTTTCCCTGTATTTGCGACTTATATTGAGCACCAGATGCCATATTAATGGTCTTCCCTCAAGAGATTGACCTGAAACTCTGAATGCGAAATTACAAGTAACGAAATTGTATGGAGGCGTTGTGTCAACATTCAAAAATGCGGAATGCCAAATTACTGTTACTACGGTGAAAAAATGTTTCGAAAATCTTAAAAAGTTCGCAAGTGGGACGGAATTTTATATTTGGACTATGTTCTCATACATCCCAATCGTCAAAATGTTGGAGAAATTCTATTCCTACGGAAAGCATTTCGCTCGAGAGAAAAATCCTCCAATCGTCGAAAATGTAGGAGTAAAATTTTTGGAATATGGCATCTCCTTCTAATCAACTGTGGGTCTTTTTCATACTTTGTGTACCCTTATTTGTTTGCGCAAATTTCAAGTGTTTGTGTTTTACGAAATAATGAAAAAGAAAAAATGAATTGAAACGAAAAAAATGAATAGTATTATACTTAGAGCATATTTAGAGGATGTTGCTATTGTCAGAGAGCAACAAAGAACTTCTACAAGATTGTCAAGAAGAAAATTGCGAGATAGTTCCAATCCTCTTGAGTGCATAAAATTTACGTTTTTTTGCAGAAGGTGGATATCAAACTGGCGTTGGGAATGATTCTGATGTTGGTATGGCACAATCAATATTTTGTTCTAACTTCTCCGATGTGGTGACTGTTTTCGAAGCTCACCTTTGTCCTAAGTGGATTAAATATTCATTAAATATTCGCTTTGTCTCTTCATCAGACGATTTAATTTCAATAAGTTTATAGATAGCTTCTTCGTTGCTTGATAAGTTTTGCTCCTTGTTTGGGCCGTCTCCTTTATGACGTGTATACCCTTAATTTTTACATACATATTACGAATTTTCTCTAACATGACATGTATGTATTCATTAGACAAAATGACCATTGGTGTAAAATTTATAAAAATCGGTTAAGTATTCGCTGAGTTATTTGAATGTCAATATCTTCCAATCCATACTTACTATTCGGTTTTTCATACCTAAAAATGAAAGACCACACTAAAATGGATTTTGTAAAACTGGCAATTTTTTTGTTTGGTTTGTAAATAAAATTATAGCATACTTTTAGGCCAAAAACAAATAGTTCGTGCTCCAACTTGATAGGTAGGTATCATGGTACAATTATAAAAGGTAACAGCAAATCCCAGCTGATTTGATTCCAACGTAATACTAGTGTCAATATGAATTTGACAAATTATGTTTTTAAAAATCACCCAACAGGAAAATTGGGAACGCATACAATTTGAAATTGTTCTTTATTAAATGTGCTCTTGTATTCAATTTACTCAATCTGCCTGCTGGGAAAGTTTGAGGAAGCAAATCTTTCTTCAAGGAATAACTCGCTATTCCCAGCATTTTCATATGTGTTACACATATATATGGCAATGGCTCAATTATAGGAAAGATGTGGAAGCGATAGAAATATAAATTTGATAGATTTTCATTCATGTTTTTCAATTTTTATTTTGAGGATTCGAAAATATTTCATTTTCAAAATAAAAATAATTTGATGACAATTTGTTTGTTTGTTTACATTTTTCTGTCAAATGAGTTGACACTAGTAGAACTTACAACAACAAATTTCCATGTGGTTGTTGTATCGTTTTTTGTACAACAACACTTGCTGTTACCTTCTATTATTATACCATGGGTAGGTATGTAAAATTGTTATTTATGTATATACACTGGTGGCCAAAACTAAACCAACTAAAATCGCAAGGTTAATAAAAGCCGAATAACTTTTTCAAAAATAAAGATATCGAATCTAATATGAATCAAAAATATAAAATTAGAACCAAAATCCACAAAATATCGAGTAAGATTTTCAACCCCATCTGATTAAGATGAAAACGTGCCCAAAAGCTTTAAAATGCCAAATATTAGAGGTTACATTATCCACGGATATGTTTGCTATTTTTAATACCAAAAGGAGATCAGATTTTGAAAATGAAAATAGATGATAAAAATAACAAGTGAAAAAGCGTTAAGTTCGGCCGGGCCGAACTTTGGATACCCTCCACCATAGATATACGGGCAGGTACTAGAAATGAAAATATAGGGAACATGTCAAAAAGTGGACCTATACCGACATTTCTAAAAACGGATTATGTAAACCATAATGTAAACAACAATACAAATTTCAGAAAATTTTAATGGATAATTATACCTCCAGCCTTACAGCTAATGACGGTGTATACACTTTAACACAATGAAAATGTGCCTCATCGAAATAGTGGTTCTAGACCCCATTTCTTCCAAACTTAGTTCAAATTCGAAGATGGGGAATATCGGTCCACTTCTTCTGGTACCTCCACACAGGGGCTAGGTCTAGTTCATTATCGAACCTTACGTTCTATTTTTTTATCTCGCTATCCTCCGCAGGTGAATTGATTACAACAGAGTCTTAGAACCAAAATTAAAACGCGTAACAAATCAGATAACTATTTTAATATAAAAAAAGGGGGTTATATGGGGACTACCCCAAAAAGGGGGCGAATATTAATAATTTTTGGTAGGGAGATTTGTTACCATATACGACTACAAAATACCAAATTGCAGCAAATTCGATTGATAAACGCGTTCAAGAACCCCAAAATACCGAAAATTG